ACATATTACAAATATGAATATCAGGCAAGTCAACGCAATAGCTCAACCATTGTTCATTTATATCTAATTTAATTTTTTATAGAACCCAAATTATCCAACTATAAAAAGCATTGCATCAACTGGACTGAAACGAATAACAATTGAAATACAGGTTTGTTCTTGATTTCCATTATATATTGTATATTGACAGAACAATTTTATATTGTAATGTTCGTATTCTCTTGCTGTTCTGTTAATATTTAATTTTATTTCATTTCTACTTCTACAGTTCCCTGCAATCGGTGAAATAAAATGCAATTATAACGGTACAAACGGATACGTAGATTTAATCAAAGTGAAATTGAAGAAGACAAACACTGAGAATACCTACCAAACCAAAATCATTTATATTTTGGGTCAAATTAAACGAATACAATATTTTGATGTTACTGACAACGAGTTGCTACCTTATACAGAATATGATGTGATAGTTATACTTGCAAATCGTAATGAAGAGAGTGATTCCAGTGGCAAAGCGGTTGTAAGAATGGTTGAAGATGGTATGCATATATTACATGCTAACATTACCTTGAAAAGTACAACATACAGCACTGCTCCAAATGACAAACAGCCAAATGAAATATCCCTTCTCATAACTAAAATACTAAACAACAAGCATGAGAATTATTAATTTATATGGCTTTAAATTAATTGCAACGTTTCTGTTTTATTTCAGTTCCATCTCAACCAAGAAATGTCACTTTAGATCCAGCTGTGTTTTTCATTACTGTGCAATGGTTGATACCAGAGCCTGCAAATGGTAAAATAACGGGGTATCAGATAACAAATTGGATATATAATAATCCAAGCACACTTAAATCATTAGAAATAACGGATGATCTATTAGATGTCATGAAGTACCAGATAACAGACCTGGAATACGACGTCAGATATTCTGTAAAGGTATCCCATTTTGGTACTCTAAGAACATTGAATCACATTGCAAATTTTACAATGTATATGCTTCAGACAATGAAGCGAAACACATCCTTGCTGCTGCTTTGATTACAATTACGTGTTCTTTCATTAACATTTCCCGCTATAGTTAATTACCCAGTAGGATCATACTAATATTATTTCCCATTATAAAATTCTAAAGATTATGTCCAAAACTATATTACTATTACCTGTATCTTTGCGTTTTATTAACTACTAGGTAAAAGCGTCGACTAGTGTTGGATATGGTATTGCAAGCTCTGAAGTAAGCATCACAACAGCTGAGACAGGTATTAGGCAAAACCTATTAACCTAGTATATGAATAACCCAGACATAGTTCATGTTTTTGTTTACAAATTAAATAATATAAATTACTGTAAATATATTACAAGTGTGATTAATGAAGCGACATTAAGTGTTTTACAGTAATGCCTTATTTCGGCATTTCGGCATTTGTTGTTGCATTGATTTTGAGGTGAAGGATTTTTATAATGTTGTGTTTTAATGGTGATATATTAACCTATGGCCACACAACTTGTGGTGGCGATTGTATATTTTTGTTCCGAATGCTTATTAAATAGTCAGTCAGTCGATAACTGTTTAACAA